CTGTATAATTCACTCATAGTTATTGATAATGATAAAAACAAATAATTTTAAATTTTAATGATTGATTACTGACTTGACTAGTGACGAGAGTGACCTAAAAGGTAGTAGACAGAATAGAAATAACGCAACGCACATTGCAGAATGCAGAGTAGAATGCGTTAAATAGCGTGCAAGTACGTAATTTTTTTAACACGTGGTGTACCAGTCGCCAGTCGTAACAGGCAAAAAGTATTTGTTTTTTGTAGGTATTTTGGGTATTTTAAATACTTTGAGTAGTTAAAATACTGAATAGTATTTAAATTACTTTTGTTATTTTTAAAATACAAAATACTTTATTAAAGTATTTAAAATACAAAATATTTTTGGGGTTATAACATAAGTATTTTAATTACAAAATACAAAATACTATTTTATATTTAAAATACTATTTGGTATCTTTTTTTGTCAAAATATGGGAGTATTTTGACTCTGTTAACTACCCAATGAAAAATTTATCAACTTATTTCGTTTAAATAAAATAGCAACTTTAGAATTAATTCAAGAAAAAAAATAGTAATTATCTAGGTTCTTAAATAAAGGATTTCTATTTCCAAACGTAATTGGTACAATATATTGTTCACATATAGCTATAGTTTCCCCAAAAATAGATCACCTAGTGACTCCAGCAGTGGCAAACTTGAATAGAAAAGGATTTTATAGAATAAATGTTCAAGCAGTAAATTTATTATGTCTTTAAACTACAGTACCCTATTATAATTTTTTTCAGATGTTCAATAAATATTTGTTTATATAAAAATAAAAATATAAAACTAGTGTCCATACTTTTCTTTACCTAAATAGTAAATACATATAATGATGTTTAATAGGTATAGGTTTGAAAACAGTATTACTAGATATACATATAATGTTTCACAGAGCTACATATATGTATACCAGAGTATGTTGCAACTTGGGTCTTGGTTTTTTGAATTTGCACCCGCTACTTTTGAAAGTGCTGCTGCGAGCTGACAGACTGCATTTGTCATTTCCTAATACACATACGTATAAATTTTTATACAGAAAACTGAAAATTTTCCACAATACATCAACATACCTGCACATTACACAAACAAATTGTAAATTTTAGGTTATAATTTTCTTCTCTAAGAATTCACCGGTTAATGCGATATTGCCAAATAGAAAAATGACGTATTCTAAACAATATTGTTATCACTGTAACTTTTAGCAATACTTGTTATAAAGGTGTAAACAGAATATGGTTTTCATAAGTCATCTTGTTATAATTTACATTTTTATCAACATGGATTATAAAACAAGATCTTGGGCAATAAACGAACAGAATCGACTCGAAATGTGTCAAACAATACAGATATTTATTTACTTAGTGGTGTCATCCTGCTCATAGTGCGCTGATGAGGGTTTATCTTTATTTCAGGATATACCGTTTACAATGCCTTTTTTTGGCACAGCCACCTTCACAGCCGCTGCACTCATAGAAATATTTCTGTACTGTTATTCAGGGACGCTGCTGTACGAAGAGGTAAGAAAAAAACACGTTTAAGAGAATTTCGAGAAACTGAAAATTTTACATCGGATTTACATAGTTTTTTAAAATTTGACCAACACAGACTAGAAACTAGACTATTCCTTTCCGAAAGTCTTTCGTGGTGTAGCATAACCTGAAATTTTGGCTAAAACTGAGTTTTTCGCACGTTTAGTTTAGGGTGTCTCTAAAACCTGATGCGATGAGGCAATTCGTGATCGGATTCGGATTAAGTGCATCGAAAACCTACGAGCCCTGGTTTCTAGTTTAGAAGGTCAATCATATTTTGTCGGCCTGTGCTATTAAATGCAACAAGATAGCCAATGCCAATGAAAAAATGTAACTTAATGTCATCCCTTTTAGAGTAATTCGGTAATAAATGCCATATACATGAGCGAATGGTATACCTATGACGAAAAATCCAAGAAGGCCCTTCTGACTTTGATGGAAAGGGCTAAAAGACCCATAAAAGTCACCGCAGGAAAACTTCTAGACCTCTCGCTTGCCACTTTCACCGCGGTGAGCAATTTTTAAGAAAAAAAGTTTTTACATTCTACCAAAGATCAATTTCAGATTATACGCAGGTCTTACTCACTATTGGCGGTCCTAAAGAATTATTAATTAATTAATTCCCACTCTACAAGATTTCGCACAGCTTTGTAGAAAGATAGTTGCAATATTATCCACTTTGGTAGAAATATACTATATGTTATGCAATTTCAAGGAGTTTTCATACATTTATACACAGATATCCATTACAGTAAGTGATAAACTGGGTTAGAATGTTGCTTTATGTGCAGGTGAGACATGTTCCAACAATAGATGGGCTCAGTTTAAGCTTTTAAATGTGAAGTTGAATATCAAATAAAAAGATGTACAATGTAGTAGTTTCCTTATTGACTTTATAGGACTGTCTTCTATAATCTCAGAGGTAGATGGGATACTATTATCACATAGTTTAGATTGGTGTGTCAGGATCAAAATTACTAGATTCAATAAAATAGTTTGAAAAGTAGTCTACAGACCAAATGAAAACGAAACAGAGCCATTTTCAGGAACTGCGTCAAGATTGTAGAACAACGCTCAGAGCCATCGATTTTAGATAAAAGCGGGATATTTTTCGCTGGTACTTTTGACTATGCCACTTTCACCCCCCATGCAAGGGTAAGCATCACCCCAAAATATTTAAATGACATGGGGGTTGAGTAATATTTCTTTTGAAAACTCTTACAATTCTGTTTACAACAGACTTTAAATTTTATAATTCCGCCCAATACTTATTAAGAATTTTTATTTTAAAGTTGAAACTTATGTACAAACAATTAGTAACGGTAAAAATGTCAGTCATTCGAGTTAAGTACGCCAATGGTATAAATTTAGTATTTCTTGCGTTACATTGGTTTTTGGCGATTTGTTATCACTTTCGTAAAAAAAAACACAATTGTAAAAAACAGAAATGAATGCTATACACACACAATGAACGTAAAATTAGTGGATTCCAAATTATTTTCTAGTATTATTTGGAAGCGTTGGTTGGTAGTTTATTTAATTGTGTTTTTGAAAATTAAACACTATGGTTTATTCCATTGCGGAAAGGGTAGATATCATTTCGCTTTACTTTATGAACAATAAATGTGCGAATAGAACAGCTCAGCTATTTAATGAACAACATCAAGATCGACATGTCAGGAGGAAGTATGTTCTAGAGTTAGTAAAAAAATTTCAAGAGACAGGGAACGTAGCCAATAAAAAACGAGAAATTGAAAAACCTATAGTTAATGAAGCTAGTGAAGTTGCAGTTTTGGGACAAGTTCATCTTGATCCTACATTAAGTACGAGGCAGCTGGCATCTGTGTCTGGGATCAATCGAACTAGCATACAAACCATTTTGAAGAAGAATAAATTCCATCCATACAAAATACATTTAGTCCAGGAACTTCATGAGGATGATTATGACCGCCGTTTGCAATTTTGCGAAATAATGAGTGAGCGAGCAGGGAACGATCCACAGTTCCTTTTTAACATCTGTTTTTCTGATGAATGCAGTTTTTTCTTGAACGGGACGGTAAATCGTCACAATTGCCGCTATTGGTCCGATTCAAACCCAAGAGTTTTTCACGAGGTGCATACACAGCAACCGGAAAAATTAAATGTATGGGCTGGAATTTTCGGTGACCGGCTGGTGGGTCCTTTTTTTCTACCTGGTAATTTGACTGGCCAAATGTATTTGCAATTACTGGAAGACGCTATTGACCCTGCCTTGACTGATATTATTGAAAATGTTCCAGAGTATGATGAAGATCATTTGATTTTTCAACAGGACGGTGCTCCTCCGCATTATGCGTTAATTGTCCGTCAGTATTTGGACCAACGTTTTCTACGGAATTGGATTGGGAGAAGAGGCAGCATTGAGTGGCCTCCACGATCACCGGATTTATCGCCCCTTGATTTCTTTTTGTGGGGATACCTAAAAAGTAAAATCTATAAAACACAGCCAGCGTCGCTGGAAGATTTGCGTCAAAGAATCGTCGACGAATGCCGTCGAATCACTCCGGAAATGCTTCGGAATGTGCGCGAACGTTTCGAACAAAATCTTTATTCTTGTATGGAAGCGGGCGGTCATCAGTTTGAACATTTAATCAACTAAGTAGTAAGTAAACAACTAAACATAATTTAAATTTTAAAATGTAAATTTTTTTCAAAGTATTGGGCGGAATTATAAAATTTAAAGTCTATTGCAAAGAGAATTGTAAGAGCTTTCAAAAGAAATATTATTCAACCCCCAATGGCATTTAAATATTTTGGGGTGATGCTTACCCTTGCTTGGGGATGAATGTGGCGGAGTCAAAAATATCAGCAAAGAATGTCCCCCTTTAATCTAAAATCGACAGGTCTGAGCGTTTTTCTACAATCTTGACGCAGTTCCTGAAAATGGTTCTGTTTCGTTTTCATTTGGCCACCCTGTATATCCTGTGTTTAAATTACAGTTTGAATCGTAGCAGGACAAAGAAGAAGTTGTATTTTTCGTATAACTAGACAAAAAATCCAAGGAGGCCCTTCTCATATTGATGGAAAGGGCTAAGAGGCCCTGCTGGGAAACTTATGCATCTCACAGTAGAAACGTTTTCTACGGTTTGAAATTTGATTCAAGAAAAGTGTTACGACTTTATCTGATGTTCAATATCAAACCATACGTAGGTCTTACTTACTACTAGCGGTTATGAAAGATTATTAGTTGCTCAATGCAAAAAATTGCACCACTTTGTAGAAAAGTAGTACCATTTTATCTCAACAGCAAAAATTAAGTTAAATCTAACGGATGTTGGTTCCTCAGTTCATAAAGGATGTGAATACTTATTTAGTCCCTTAATTATTTTACGGAATTACAACTTATTATTTATTTAAGTAACTGTATACTTCGAACAAAGAATTATTTTATTATTTATTTACTTTGAATTTACCGATATAAAGAAATCAGATCTAATTGCAGATCTATTGCAGATTATTAATATTGCAGATTGCAGTTTTGATTCCAATAACTTTTTCTAATTGGTCCAACACCAAAGACTGGGGTATAATTATCTATTTACAGTAATTACATATTCCCTTTCAACATGCTTTACGTCAAAAGGCTAATTGTTTTAATTACAAAAGAAAATATGTACTATGTTTTAACATACAGTTCGGTTATAAATAATTCTAATGCTAGGAATAAAACAGGCTGCCTTTTGATCTTCTTCGACAGTTTCACAAAATGTTTTCGAGAGACTTGACCGAAAGTACCTTCAAATACAACATAGCCATAATGAAAATCTTCGGTTTGTACCCCTTCGATAACTGGCCAAAAGTTTCCATACTGTACGGTTTCATCTCCTACGTAGTTCTTACATTCATAACAGCTGTACTGGTAGTAGTATTACTGATCGTTAGAATTAAAGACAGCGTCCAAATTCTAAGCGAAGACGGTTTTATAATGGTGGAATTGATAGTTCTCTCTGTGAAGATACTGCCCTGTAAACTAAATATAAAGGGCATAAAGAGGACAATGCACGCTTTGAAACAGGAGATTTTCAATAGCCAGTTGCCTGAGCAAGACAGGATTCTGGCAGAGACTATTGACAACTGCATATTTATATTTCTGACGTTTTGTACGTGTTCTGTCATTACAGTTTCACTTTGGGCCTGTGTACCCTTGGCATATGAAGCAAGAAGATTACCTATTGCCATATGGCTGCCCTTCGACCCATTCGAGGACACAGCGATTTATATTTCTTTGTACATCTTCCTCATTTATGGTAAAGTATTAAAATCGATACTTAATATTTTCCAACCAAAAATGATTCCAGTATAAGCTTAAGTTTTATTTTTTTATCCGCAGTTGTGGTGAATGGTGGTGTGGAAAACGTCTGCATCGACACTCTGTTAGCTTTTCAGGTGTACCACGCCGCAAGCCAAATTAAAATTCTCAAAGACACTCTGGCGCACTTGGGCGAAAGGGCAGAAGAGCAAATTCTGAAGGAGGACAAGTCTCTGAGCTTGGAAGATAAAGATAATTTGAAAAACAACATAATTTATAAGAAGATATGCCACTGCGTTGATCACTATGAAGCCATTTATAGGTAAGTAAATTGTACCCGATAATTTTCTCATTTAACGCTTTCTTAGGGTGGTATAGTAGACTCTAATGTTGAGCCAAAAGTAATAATATAATAATACATATTTGTAATTTAGGCCAATCAATAGAGGTTTTGTTTGTGACAATTACACTAGCAATATTTAGGAAATAGTTATGATTAATAATACTTTTAGGTTTGTGGAAGATTTGGAAACTACCTACTCTTTCATCGTATTTAGTCAAATGATAGCTACTATAATATTAATATGCGTTTGCTGCCTGCGCTTTACAGTGGTAAGCACTTGCCTAAATAGAATATCTCATCATTAAAAGTAATTTTTTATTTTATTCTGCATGATTCGGATTAATTTGTTCTTGCCTGTAGAGTAATAAAGACATAACTGTATTCAATAAACTGACAAAGTGTCAAAATTATACAGATATTTATTTACTTAGTGGTGTCATCCCGCTCATTGTGCGCTGATGAGGGTTTATCTTTATTTCAGGATATACCGTTTACAATGCCTTTTTTTGGCACAGCCACTTTCACAGCCGCTGCACTCATAGAAATATTTCTGTACTGTTATTCAGGGATGCTGCTGTACGAAGAGGTAAGAAAAAAAACAAAAGAGAATTTCGAGAAACTGAAAATTTTACAACGGATTTACATAGTTTTTTTAAATTTGACCAACACAGACCCGCTACACTTTTAAACTAGAAACTAGACTATACCTTTCCGAAAGTCTTTCGTGGTGTAGCATAACCTGAAATTTTGGTTAAAACTGAGTTTTTCGCACGTTTAGTTTAGGGTGTCTCTAAAACCTGATGCGATGAGGCAATTCGTGATCGGATTCAGTGCATCGAAAACCTACGAGAAGGTACAGTCTGGTTTCTAGTTTAGAAGGTCAATCACATTTTGTCGGCCTGTGCTATTAAATGCAACAGGATAGCCAATGCCAATGAAAAAATGTAATTTAATGTCATCCCTTTTAGAGTAATTCTATAA